AGAAGTGCGTCTGCCCGTGTCCAGTGGTTGTCCTAACTTTAGGTTGTGAATTCCTGAAGCGCTGCCAGGTATTTGCATCCTTAGTAAAGACTTGCCTGAAAAGGCTGTTACCTGAATGTCAGTCACTTTTCTTCCCCTCTTCATTTGCAGGCCTAAGTTCCTAACAATGAACCACAAATCTTGAAGTTAGAGTAACCTTTTTTGGATCATATATAACTTTATAACTTATCAACTCCCCCACCCCCAGGGCAATGTTGGGTCCTGTATAACCTATCAATCCCAGGCGGTGGGTGGTTCCTTACTCTGCTTGGATTTCAGCAGAGAGTAGAAGAGGACAGGTTTGTGGGTTTTAGAAATCATGGTTTGAAGTTCCCTTGTGTTTCTGATTCATACAGAATAATACAGCTCTACTGTTTCTTGGTATTTAAAGGTAACAATTAAAGTATAAAAGGCCATGTTATTTTTTTATTGTATGTAAACAGGGAAACTTTTTAAAAGGCATCCCCAGGCATTTATATATGATAAGTAAGTGGTCCTATTAACAGAATTTTCAATTCACTGCTACCTAGGAGAGTTAAAGTTGAATGTTTTAAAGTTATATGAGAAGCAGTAGTTGTGTGAATAGCTGTTAGTGTTTTCTGGTACATCCATTAGCCATATATTTATCTGACATTAAAATGTGTGTTTGTAACTACAGTTGCTGACCCCATCCGTTTAAATCTTTAACCTCATTGAAGTTTTGCTGTCCTAGATTCTTAACTCCTTAAGGACAGAGATGTGGGGTTTTTTTGAAGTTAAGAAATCAATGTAGCTTTCCCTCTTCCAGCATTTTTCATTAAAGGAAATTGTTCTATTGTAGAACGCCATAAATTATAAGTGGTTTTAATAGTGTACGCGAAAGGGAAATGAAAGCTAAACCATTTCAGTCATGGACACCGTGGAGTTTCTTACTTACAATTCCAACATTTTTAAGGAAGCCTCCCCTTTTTAAACAGGGGCCTCAGATGTGAGCCTCTCAGAAACGCAGAATGGAGCCTATCAGAAACTGTCTGAGGAAACAGTGGGAAGTGGGAAGGTTAAAAAATCTCTAAAACGGTCTGTGAATGTGGACTTGTCAGAAGCCCGGAATGGAGAGATGGCTAAAGAAACAGTGGAAAACGTGCAAGTTAAAAAAAAAAAAAAAAAGAAATCTACCGTAATAATCAATGGAGAAGCAGCCACACAGCCTCCCAACTCAGAATCAAAAAAGAAAAAGAAGAAGAAAAAGAGGAAAATAGTGGGTGATGCTGGGCCTGGTGAGTACTTCAGTTTCTTTCAATTTCAGGCATCCATATAGTTTGCACGGTCACCATTGTACCTTTGTTCTGTTATTATTACTATATTCCTACACCATGCAAGAATCCCCATACTCACTAGCATACCAGAAGCTAACCTGGTAGCAAAAGGAAATAGTGTGCGGGGGATGACGTTTTTATTTTTATTACTGGAAAGTGGTGTGCTTTTACATTCCCTTACCACTGAAGAAAACCTCGCGCTTAAATACAAGCCTTCCTTGAATTCTAGAAACTTGCTCATTTTGACAGTTGGCTGGGCTTTTAAACAGACCATATTAGGGCATGGTATTTTAGGTTTATTACCTATCTGCAAACAGGATTGTGGAATTACACTAAGAAATCTGGGCTAGTACACACTATCTTGGGCCTTTATTATCAATGGACTTTGCACTGATGATTCTTTTAAAATAAGAATTTTTCTGTCAGGTTTTTTTCTATCATAAATTCCTCCTCTTGAAAGGAGACTTCCTGACATTTTGGATATGCAGAATGTATCAAACCAGCAGGTAACTTCTATATAAATGGCACGTTAATTTCGAAGTGAGTGGAATGGCCAGGATAAAGGGGAGGCCAATTTCTCTTAGAAGGTGATTATATTTGAATAAGCTTACATGAAGAATAGGCTTTTTTTTTTTTTTTTTAACGTTTATTTTTGAGAGAGAGACAGCATGAGCAGGAGAGGGGAAGACAGTCAGAGACACAGAATCTGAAGTAGGAGCCCAGCTTGAGGCTGAAACTCATAACCCATGGGATCATGACCTGAGTCGAAGTCAGATGCTTAACCGACTGAGCCACCCAGGTACCCTGAAGAATAGGCATTTTAATTGAGATATGAGCAAGCAGAGATTTCAAGGGAGACTATAACAGGTGTCAGAAAGCTATTCAGTCTTCTGCCTACTTTTGGAAATAAAGCTTTATTGGAACATTGCCATTCCCATTTGTTTACTTTGTTTCTATGGTGACCGAAACCATAGGGCATGCAAAACCAAAAATCTTTACTCTCTGGGTCTTTATAGAAAAAGTTTTGTCAGCACTGGGTGAGAACATTCTGTTCATCTATCTTAACTGAAATAAAGGTTTCATTTATTTTTTTAAGTTTATTTATTTTGAGAGAGAGAAAGAAGAGAGTGTGATGAGTGAAGGAGTGCAGAGAGAGAATCCCAAGCACCCTCACTGCTGTCAATGCAGGGCTTGATCTGACAAACCATGAGATCATGACCAGAGCCAAAATCAAGAGTCAGACATTTAACCGACTGAGCCACCCAGACATCCCTGAAGTAAAGGAGCTTTAGAAAGGAGCTTTATAGGGGCACTTGGGTGGCTCAGTCGGTTAAGCGTCCAACTTGAGCTCAGGTCAT